AGTTCCAAAATCTCTTCCATATTTGAATTTGGTTTGTTTCTTGATTGTTACTGGTTTGTTGATAATCAAGGTCTCATGTAGCCCAGGCATGCATTCAACTTGCATTTGGTTTTGACGGCTGCTTTGTTCCTTCGGGTTTTTCTTTTGTCTTTCACTACATATATTATAGTTATTCACAGTGGGATGCCAGATAAGATGTTTCTAGCGAAAGAAACAAAGTTAAATAGAGAAAGTGTGAGGTTTCTGTGGCTAGGAAGAAGGTAGATGCTATAACTGTGTCAAAGGCTAAAATTTATAACTGTGTATGCCCTAGCTGTGTCAAAGGCTAAAATTCCCTATAGTGTCTTTATTTAGTCCAGCTTGCATTTCCCTAGGGACTTCTTTGTCCCTAACATCTTAATGTCATTCTCTTATTCAGAATTCCATTAACGTGTAGGAGTAGTCAAGAATTTTCATGGGTAGTGTTTTGTGGTATCTTATAATTAGGGCTTAGTCATTCATTAAGCCTTCACATCTGGGATATGGTTTTCATAAGGGTTTCTCAGCATTTCCCCCTCTCCTACAAGGGTGACAGACTGCCCATCCTGAGTTGGAGTTGGGAATTCCCCCTCCCCTATGTGGAAATAGAGGTTTTTGGGTATTTCCTCTTTCCCATGAAGAGCCTAAAGTAAAGTTGATTTGGGTTAGGTAATTCCTTTCTTTCCAGTTGGTTAGGCTTTGGTAAAACCCCACATGCTGGCTGGGCTCTGATAAAAAATTAGTCCCTAAATCAGTCCTTTAAGGACATCAGAGGCTTTGATAACAGCCCTTTTTTTCACCTTGCAAAATGCAAAGGGGGGTTTTCTCAAATCTTCCCCTAAAGAACTGACTGTGGTTTCTGGAAAGAAGGCTGCGGAAAGAGTAGGAGGCCCTGCAAAGCACAGCCCCCATGGTTAGTCTCCAGTTCTCTCTTAGATTCCAGGAACTAATTAATAGCACTTAGCATTAGCATTCTTATCTGTTTCTGGCCTCCAGCAGAGGTTCTTCTTGAAGTGAACTGGGACTCCGTATCACTTATATTTTAGTTTTCAGTGTCATGATTCCTCAAGACCTCCATTCTCTGATGGTAGTAAAGCATACTGCTAATGCTATTTTCCTGTGTGTTTAAGCATATACAAAGTGATTTGTTTATTTTTTTTTTCACTAAAGAACAAAACTTTGGGCATAAAAGACTTCACTTTGCCAATGTTTTTAGACTCTTACATTCCTATTATCTTATAAAAATTTGACAAATAGTCATTTCATAGAGTAGATCATTGAAGTTTAGCTTTAAGAGATTTGTCTTACATGAAATCTCCATGTTTTGACAGTAAAACTATTTTTACCTAATTAAAATTTAAATTAAAGTATAATTTACCTAATTATTACTTTTAGTGTTCACTCAAAGGACACTGGGATGACAACTGCTTTTCATTTGATTCTTTATCCACTATGATGGAGACATCATTCTAGACTGTAATATATTAATGGGAAAACAATAAAAGACTTCTGATCTTGGTGAATATGTTCTAATTTGAGGAAACAAAAATAGAAAAATTGCATACTGAATATGTTGATATGTTCTAATTTAAGGTAATAAATTATAGAAACTGATCATAATGAACATGCATTTTCTGTGAAGTGATTGAAAGTAAAGGAAAACATGGAAAGTCTAGAAATGGAGAAGGACACAAGGCATGCAAGGGCTATAATTTTAAGCAGAATTGTTAGAGTAGATCACATTCAAGGGGCAACGTATGAGCAGTCTTGAAGAGGAAGAGGGGTAGGCCATGAAAGCATTTAGTCAGAGGAACTACAGGAGGAAGAAACAGAGCATGCAAAGAAAAAAAAAGGATTGACAGCAAGAGCTCAGAGAAAGAGAGAGCAATGAGTTAGAGTGAGGTAATTTAGCAGACAAGATCAAAGTAATATCAAGGACTTGGATTTATTTGATATTGTGGTTCTGTGAACAGATGGTAGATATAATTAATGTAGCATTCAAAAAGAATCCCTGGCTACTCTTTTGAGATCTGACATTACGAAGACTCATTAGGAAGACTTTTAACAAGCCAGGTAAAAAAGATGTCGCATACGAAAGAATTGTCTTGATTGTATCTGGGTCCTCAAGTAGTAGAAAAAAGAGGAAATTGAAGATGTCTCTAAGATTGGTAGAATGAAGAGAGATAAAGGAGATAGAGAAAGCATTGGGTACTGTTCACTTTGTGGGAACAGCAGACTTCACTTCAAGAATGTTAAATTTGAGACTCCTACTATATGTGCAAATAGATGTAAATCAATACATGCAACCCAAGAGCATTATCTGGCTGGATCTGTCACATATAGATGTTCATACTTCACCATGATCTTGAAAATTTAAAACATGAAAGCCTAGAAAAGTTTTTATTCTATATTACATGTGATTATTTTCAAACATTATCATTTATTGGGCATCTGAAAATACATCCATACAATTTGTTTCATATCACATATATTCTTTATTACAGAGTTCATAATGACATAGCATGAAAAAATAATATTTTATTTAGAAGAAAAATGAAACAGAATAAATGGTGACCTCTATAATGGAGCTGTGTAAAATTTGTAGGATCATTTAAAATAAATAACAAAGAGAAGAGCTCTAAGAAAAAAATGCTCCCCAAATTTACTTATTTTACAGTTCATTTTATAAAGCTTATTCCTTAAATTAAGAATATGTGTCATGAAGCTTCTTGAATTTCAGGCAAATTCAAAGCTAAAACCTTGTTAATTAAATAAAATTGACCAGTTGTCAGAATTCTAGCATGAGCTCTAGATGGCCATGCTAATGTTGTACTATTTTTTAAATATGGAACAATTAGAATTTGTGTACTAAATGCCTTTTGTTATGGGGGAGGGAATCTCTGAATTATCCCATCTGAATTCCAGGGCCATAATGCAAGCCATATCCCTACTTACATTGTTTCATAGTGTGTGCAGTGGACAGAGAATGGCTTTATTATTTTTGGAGAATTTCATGGTCTCTGGAGAAATCTCAGGCCAAGATGCCTAACCCCTGTATTTAAATTTTCTGTGTCCAATTACTGACCTACCTACTGACCTAACCTTCATTATTTCTATTTATTTTTTAATGTTTTTTAAATTAATTTGAGATTTTCATACATCATGTTTTGATCATGTTCATCCTCCCTCTTCCGTATTTCTTTTAAAGCCGTCAAGTCAATTAGTGCAGCTTATGTATACTCAGGCATACAGCCACCCAGTAGGGTATATTAGAGCTACAAGAAGCCAGAATTCTTAATCCTCTTCCACAGCAGTAATCAACTACCAATAGCTTCTCAGCTTGGAGCGGTACTCCAGGCCTCTCTGCCCTCTCTGTGTTGTGATTGGGGCTGATTACAAAATATTGCATTTGCATAGATCATGAAGACAATGCAGCCACTTGTGATGAGATCTGACAGTCTAGGGTCAAACAGAAGGGGAGGAGGACCTCCCCTACGAGTGGACTATGGGAGGGGCATAGTGGGAGAAGAGGGAGGGAGGAAGGGTGAGATTAGGAAGAGACAAGGAAGGGGGCCACAACTGGGATACAAATTGAATAAATTGTAATAAATGATAACAAAAAATAAAAAAGAGAAAAAATGCTGTGAGTTCATATTACAGCTGCCGATTGTATTCAGAAAACTCTGTTTCCTTGTAGCCATCCACTACCTCTGGGTCTTATAGTCTACCTGAACCCTGTTCAGCAATGATCCTTGAGCTTTGGAAGTTAGGCCCTGTCTCAAACAAACACACACCAATAAGAAATCCCATAACATACAACTCAACCCAGTTCAACCCAACTGCTGCCCCACCCTCAAAATCCATAACCAACCAACCTAAATAAATAAATAAATAAAAAGAACACTTTATATACAATGACTAGAGAAAGTAGGGAACAATATGAATTTATGAAAATGCTTATAAAGCTTGTATTAGAAAGTTGTAAAAATATGCTATCATAAAATTGTTTTAATTCAAGAACATTTTAAAATAATATTTAAAATTACTACCTGGAGAGCAATGGAATAATGTGAACACAATGTTTTAAGTGGCTTCAAAGTCTCAAGACTTCTTAGAACAGACTTACTTGTCCTTTGTGACATAGTTGTGTTAAACTCACCATTTTACCATGTGTATCCTTTGACTGTGACCTGTCCCTTAACACTGTTTCTACTTAGGTAAAATAGAGCATAGTGGAAAAAGTTAACTTTGAAATTTAAGAGAGATCTATCTCGCCAAACATGGTTGTGCACGCCTATAATCCCAGCACTCTGGGAAGCAGAGGCAGGTGGATCTCAGTAAATATGGGGCCAGCCTGGTCTAGAAAGCATGCACAGTACAGTCAAGGCTACACAGAGAAACCTTATTTCAAGAAGAAAAAAAAAAACTGTCTCTTATTCCATACTTACATTTTGTGGGTTTTTTTTTGTATTGTTTTATTCTGAATTATAAGATTTGTTTAAGGGTTCTGTTTGGTGCCTTATACAGAGCTTTGTAGAAATTACTAAACTGATTTCTATAATAATTTTACATATGAACCTTGGATCTCATAAACATTAATTAAAATCAAACGGTAAGACTTACATATCTATATGAACATTTATTTATATGATTATACAAGTTATAAAACATGCATAAATGTAAGAATTTGAGTCAAGAGAGTGACTACCATTTGTATTAGTAGAGAGGAAGTGACTTTTGATAAGGTATACAGAGATATGAGGGATTAGAGAACATCTATTTGTAAAATAGAATACATCGGTATATGTATCATTGTTTTCATTATACAATTTCAAAACTAAAAATCACACCAAGGAAAATTATAACATGATTATTTGAGTTCCTTTTTCCCTCTTAAGTGAAATTTATCTATGGTACCATAGACCATTGCACTAAAAGCACTTTGAACAAAATGTCAGTTGTCTTTTCTTTTTCATTTGTAGTTCAAAAGGACATAGTCCGGATTCTTCCCACGTTAGACGTTGAAGTCAAAGATATCACTGACTCTTATGATGCCAGCTGGTTTCTTCAGTTGCTGTCTACTGAAGATCTTTTTGAAATGACCAGCAAAGAGTTTCCTATAGTGGTGGAAGTCATCGAAGTCTCACAAGGGAACCAACTGCCCAGAAGTATTTTACAGCCTGGGAAAACCATTGTCATCCACAAAAAGTACCAGGCTTCGAGGATCTTAGCTTCAGAAATTCGAAGCAATTTCCCTAAAAGACACTTCTTAATCCCTAGAAGCTACAAAGGCAAGTTCAAAAGGAGACCCCGGGAGTTCCCAACGGCCTATGACCTGCAGATATCTGAGAGTAAGAAGGAAACTCTCCATGTAGTAGCCACCAAAACCTTCCATACACTTCACAAGGAACTGTCCTCTGTGTCTGCTGGGGACCAGTTTCTAGTGTATCATTCAGAGACCACAGAAGTTGTATTTGAGGGAACAAGAGAAGTGAACGTTCTCACCTGTGAAAAAATCCTCAGTAAGTCCAAAGAAGTGGCACGGCTTCCTCTGTACATGGAAGGAGGTTTTGTGGAGGTGATTCATGATAAGAAACAGTACCAGATTTCTGAGCTCTGTACACAGTTCAGCTGGCCCTTCAATGTGAAGGTGTCTGTGAGAGATCTCTTCATTGAGGATGACATTTTGGCAGCTACCCCAGGACTGCAGTTGGAGGAGGATATCACAGACTCTTACCTAGTTATCAGTGATTTTGCCAACCCTGGAGAATGTTGGGAAATTCCTATGGGCCGCTTGAATATAACTGTTCAGTTAGTTAGTGGTAGTAGTTTGTCTATCGATTCGGGGCCATTTCAAGTTAGGAGTCTGGTAGAAGAGATCACAGAAGAACAGTATTACATGATGAGGAGGTATGAAAGCTCCGTTGCACGTCCCCCGCCTCGCCCTCCCAAGCATCCCTCAGCAGAGGAAATGAAGTTAACCTTGCTCAGCTTAGCAGAAGAAAGAGCAATAGATCTGCCCAAGTCTCCCAAGGTAAGACTGTGATTTCACACATTTCCTCTTTTTTTGAGGTAATACATTTTGAGTTGCTTCTGAGTTTGCCTTTTGCTTGTTTTCTTTTCTTTTATACCAATTCAGAACAAGCCTGTCTGGTATGTGCTAGATGAATGAACATCGACAGAGCAGAAGCTGTTGCAGCATTTTGTACTTTGATGCTTCACCAGTAGATGTGGCATGAGATCTATGTTGAGTTAGAAATAGAGTATGACATTTAGATATGACTGTGCAAATTGCCATTCGAATGCGTTTTGGTGATTATACATGTTAATAAGATGCCTCAGAAGAACATCTCATTTATTTTGGAAATGTGGTTCATTTTTTTGTCAGGTGGAATTATCTTAATACTTCACCCAGGAAATGAGCATACCATAAACTCCCATCTTTTGGGGGGTGGGGACAGTTTCCTGGTAACATGCATCTCTAACACATGTCTTCATTTTGTTTTATGAGCAGAAAGATGTAAAAATAATCTTGGCAGAACTGTGTGTGAGAATGAGAGCATCTGCCCACATAATGCCTCTTAGAATTGTAATCTTTAACAGTTCTATTGAAAAATAAAATCAATAAACCTACAGGCACTAGGGGATCTCTATGGAAATAACAGAGGCACAGCCACTCAAGATGTTGGGAAGTAGTTTAATCTCTTGAACACTCCCTACTAGCTGCCTGAAACAAGTTTACCCAGGACATGCATTGTGTGTGTGTGTCTGTGTGTGTGTGTGTGTGTGTGTGTGTGTGCCTGAGGTTCTATGCTGGGTGACAGAAATGTGTTCTGCCCCAGAAGATGTTGTGCTGGAAGCATAAGGAAAATGAAGCAATTAGTAAAGAGATACTTTCTGTTCACTCCTCATATTTAGGAAAGATTGTAATGCTGGGCATCAAGACTCATATGCATGTTGATGTGTTTGCAAGTGTGTGTATCAAAGATTGTTCTAATTGTATTCTAAGGGTTAAATCCTTAAGGATCACTAAACTAATTTTCTAGAAAAAAACAGTAATACCAACAAAATTTAATTTCTGGAAAAATAATTTTAAAAAATTACAAAATGAAACAGTTCCAAATAATACTGAATAGCCAACATGAAAGATTTCTTTGATTCTTAACAATTTTTTTTTTCTCACTGAGTGGAATGGTACTAAGGCAAAGGTCTAGTGTTCCAAGATTCTTGGCATCTTATTTCAAAAATGAAGTGAAAAACTTACACATATTTGCAAAGGAAATAGCAAGAAAACATTATTCAAAGCCAAACAGAATAGATTTAAAAAATACAGTATTAAAAGTTATGGTGGGCCACATGGCTGAAGATATTGAAGTGCTCCATTATAGTTTGAGGCATTCCTTCATAGGGTCCAAAGGTTGTTTATTTGGCATACCTGGGGAGAGGCACACTCAGTTTGTGGAATGCCGCCATCTTGCCATCTTATTGGCTTCTAGGCATGTCTGTGGTTACTGTGGACATAGTTTATGTCCATTTTGATTGACAAGCTTACATAGGCTTTGTTCACTGTGGGTGTCCCTTCAGCATGCATCTGAATTTAATTATATACGGGCATATGAAGGTAAATAGGGAATGGCTAACAGATTGCTAGGTGCATTGTTCAGACATATGTGTGTGTGTGTGTGTGTGTGTGTGTGTGTGTGTGTGTGTGTGTAGTATGTGTGAGGTAAAGGTCTCAGGTGGCCAAGTTCCTGATGTGTGTGTGGGGTGTATTCATAACCCAAGACAAGTAGAGTGCCAAGTGACAAACCATTCTCTAGTCTTGCCTGCTTCAAGGTGAGAAGTGGATTTTTTTTTTATTAGTGGGCAGAATAATAGTATGCATCCAAAGATCTGTATAGCTAACTTCCCAGAGCCTACAGGGATATAACATGGCATGGCATAAGGACTTTTCACATAGTTTAAAATCCAGGTCCTAGTAATGGGATTATCGTGAAGTATCCAGATAGGTCTAACTTGAAGTCTTTACTAGAAACTTTTTCAGTGGTGATCAGCATTACATGGAGATGTAGTTAGAGAAGAATGCCGAAAGAGACAATGTTCCTGCCTCCAAAGAGGAAGGAAGGGAGTCAGGCACGAAGTGTAGACAGCTTTTTTCCATGGTCCCTGCTTTAGCTCCTGACTCCAGGATTCTGTCTTGCAGTCTTGCTTTGGTTTCTCTTTAGGACGTAGTATAAGCTGTAAGCCAAATAATACCTCCCAGTTGCTTTTTATCAGTGTTTATCACAGTAACAGAGAAAAAAAAAAACACAATTCACCCTTTCTTTCTTTATTTTCCTTTTATTTTCTACCCTTTAAAGTGAGTTTTATCAGCTCACGTGCCCATGGAGAACCTGAGGGCACAGCTTAGCTTTAGGACCAGCAGGAGCTGGGATCTTGAGAGCAGATAGAGTAATGTTCATTTTTATTTCTATATTGTATTTTTTACCACCTCCAGCTAGTTTTGTTCAGACATGTCACGGGACTTCTTAGAGTTCCTGCATCCTGCATCTCAGTTTCAATACTGGAAAAGAATTCACTTTCGTTATCTAGACTGAATTCAGAAGGAGACAAGACCGAAATTGCACTACATACCTTTGTCCTGACGCAGCCAGCTTGCCAGTTGCCTTAACTAGAGATAAAGTTTATGGCTGTTTTAGTCTAGGTAATTTACATAGAACAAAAATATATTCCTAGAATTCTGGAGGCTAAGAAATTCAAGATCAAGTTGCTACTGAGTTCGATTTTCAGATCCAAGACGGAGTCTTGTTACTGCGTCCCCAGAAAGGGGAACGCCATTTTTTAATATACCAGAAGTTCCAAAGAGAAGAAACTCATTCCTCAAGTCATTTAAGTATACTTCTGTCTGACCAAATCTTTTGGCCTAAACCATTTCAATTGATCCCATCTCCAAATTCTGTTGCATTGATGTGAAGTTGCTAACTTGAGTTTTGAAAGAGACAAAAACATTAAAAAAAAAACATAGTAGTGAAAAAGAATATCAGGTCTGGACACCTCAAAAACTAGAGGCAAAAAAGGTGATAAAAAATGATTAGTGTCTACTATCACCTCAAAATAAAAGATTTAAACATTCTAAACCAAGAAAACATCCATAGATAAAAGTATGTTAACATTTTTTAAAATATCTCTAAAGATAGAAAATGACTGAAGTGTTTTTATTAGGGGAAACATACCTAACAATTATATATCATGTACTAAAATGACTAAATTAATATGTTCTTACTTTCTGGATTTACATAGTAATGTTATCTCTGTCCAGATCCCACATGAGCTTAGGATGTTGTGATCTGAGTCCCAATCTGAACAATGGAATTTGTAAAAAGTTGTCAAGATGTTACAAAGTTCTAGAATTATTTGTATTTGAGGAACACGAGTTGAGTGACAGCTGAAATTTGAAAGACTTGACACTAGGTGATATTCATTATAAGACATATTTAAAGAGCTGTTCAAGACCTGGAGAGATGACACACACCCCTCATCATAGCATTTGTGAGGCAGAGACAAGAGGGTTTGAAGACCTAGGGAAGCCTAGGCTATACAGGAAAGCCCCCTCTCAAAACCAAAACAAATCAAAAAGCATGTAACTCTTCTGTGGCAAGGAATTCAGCCTCAGTTCTTCCAGTATCTCCAACTCCAGGTGAGGTTGAAGGATGGGCATATTTGATGTAATGGTGTTGTGAAAAACTGCATATGGCAAAAAAAAGGTTAGAGCATTAAACAGAGATGGTGGGAGAAGTCAGTGAATTACTGCCTCCATAAGCCAACAGACCACTGGGAAGAATTCATAGTTTCTTGATAAAATTAGTTCCATCGGTTCTCCTGTGGCTAAAAACAGAGCACTATTATTTTCTCTAACATTTAAAAAAAATATCACCGATGCTCCCATTTTCCTGTGTTCAAACATACTAGCCTTCTTTTTTTCTTTAATAATTTTTACCCATCATGAAGATAAGCATTTTCTCAGTGGATCATAATGGAACACAACAGAAGATCTGTCAATGTCCTTGTAATGTACCCAGAAAGTCCTAAAAGTAGTGGTTTTTTATTATCCCAATGTCACCCTTCCATGTATTTTCTTTATATTACCTATGATAACTGTATTAACACTTTTCTCTCATGTATGCTTTTGAAATAATTGGATTTAAGATTTTTTAAAATGTTTTACACTAGGTAGCAGCCATTTAAAGCAAGCTTGTACGTCTTGAGGTTTTACTTGGGCTGTTGCTTTAAATTTGGAGAACAATTTGTGAGGGTTATTCAGAGTTTAAATATTCAGACTCATTTAACTCATTAAAATCCCTTTTCTATGCACAGAGAAGAGTACTACATGCTTCATTATGTGGATTTACTTTTGCTTTCCTAATGGGCCATTAACTTTACTAGATCATTTCTTGCATTGCTAAATAACAGGGCAGATGTACAGATAGTCTAGGAGTAAGAATCTGAAATGTATTAGTATTAACCAAATCCATTTGTGGTGGGTGTCCACTATCAGTTGGGAACACTGTGAGTTCATCTAATCTAAGATGTCTGGAAACTGAGAATATATGGGGACAGGTCATAAGAAGTAGGTGCAATGGAAGAATTCTTTCCCACAATAAGTTTACCCACTATTTCCTTGGGTTAGCAGTATCTCAGCAAGAAGAAAAGCAATGGCAGTAGAGTCTTCAAGACTGTGACTTGGGTACAGGCTGCAGCATGTGAGGGGACACTGGGTATCAAGAAAGGATAGCTACACCAAGGTCAATGTAGTTTTACATAGATTTTTATCACTTGCTAGATGCAATATGTATGGATGGGTAATAATGTACAGAATCTAAACGTAAATGGGGAGCTCTGGGGATCATGCACAATGAATCCCTTTATGCTGATGATACAAGGTGGAAATATGTCTTTGAATTCTATGCACTTGGAGCTTTAATTAGACAGACAGAATGTTATAAAGAGGTCGAATAAATAAAACTGTGCCTCCAC